AAAACAAACAAGATCAACTCACGTTTTCACCACGACGGCAAACTCACTGATCTCACGTCGCCGACGTGAGGGCGACGGCGGGGCCGCATGCGCAGTCAATCTCGCCCCAATCTTAATCGGTCTCCACGTCGCCGTCGCCCCGAAAACGTCTGTATCTTAAGCTCCCTATTAACAGAGCAGTGGAAGGAAGAGCTTGACAAGCCTAAAGTGATAGGCACAGTTGCAATGGATCTAAGCAAAGCTTTTGACTGCTTACCGCATGACCTTATTCTAGAAAAGTTAGAATTCTATGGACTTGGAGCTAAAAAACTCAATTTCACTTTTGCACAGCTACTTGTCAGCTAGATGTCAACGGGTCAAACTTGGAAAAACTTTCTCAAGCTGGATGGACGTGTCCACAGGGGTACCACAAGGTAGCATACTCGAACCAATGCTGTTCAACATCTTTATGAATGATCTCGTTTATTTTTGATCAAATTACGATGGCCCAAGAACAAAATCATTTACGATCTCGTTTATGCTGTTGAAAATTGTAAGATGATAATTACGCAGACGATACCAAGATTTATCTAACACACAGCGAACCCCAACTTGTAGAAGGAGGAATTAATCAGGAATTAGAAGGTGCAAGGCTATGGTTCAAAGAAAATGGCAGGATGGCAAACCCTAAAAAATATCAGGCCTTAGTTCTTGGCAACAAAGGTTGTGACATTAAGTTTCATTGTGCTAATGAAATGATACCTACATCAAATGAAATTAAGTTACTAGGTGTAACGTTAGATACCAAGCTTAAATTCGATGCACATGTTGCGTCCGTGTGTCGCAAAGTAGGCGGGCAGGTAAATGCGCTAAACAGGCTTAAAAACATTCTTCTGTGTAAAGTTAAGGAATTATTGTATCGAGCGTTTGTTCAGCCTCATTTTTATTACTGCAGTCAGATACGGCATCATTGCGGCTCGAGAAACACAAAAAAATAGAAAAAGTAAATGAGCGTGCATTAAGATATGTTTATAAAAATAAAACATCAACATATCATAAACTGCTAAGGCGAGTAGGTTCAGAAACCACGTTAGAAAACCGTCGTGTCCAGGACATGTTAATGACCATAAACGCTTGTTTTCAAGGCATCGCCCCCATATACATCAAGGAACTTGTTAAAATAAGAAATAATAAGTATGATTTAAAGTGCACCTAAACCCAAAAAATTTTTTTCGCTTGACGAAGTAAGCTTATTTTTTTGAGTATTTCTGCGCAAAATTTTTTTTTATTTGCTCAAATCTTCAATTTTCTATGCCCAGTCAAAATACGGAAAATCGGCCGCCATCTTGCCCCAC